GGAGAGATTTACTTAGTCTTCTAATTATTTATCTTGGAAAGGAAGAATGAAATTTTTAGCTGCTTAGTTTAGAACATCACTCCATATGTCATTTCAGAATTTTTTCTCTTTCTTTCTCGTAAAAGGTATTTGGTGCTTTAAAAATTCAACAAGCAAATTTAAACTGAAGGCAAGCTATTTATCTTCCTTGAGATTTTTAATGGTGACTGTGCACGAGCTACATATCTCTCACTATAACTCTCATAAGTATGTGTAATCAGTGTTACTGTTGGATATAATGGACTTTGCAGGCCATTGTGAATCTAGTGTCTACACATAGTAAGCTATCTTGATCGGTCTTTGGTCATTTCCAAAGATGATGCTGACATCATCAGCTGCTTCTGGTAATTGATTTCTTTCCCCCGCCATCCATTTATTCTTGCAGATTCAGTTGGGGTTCCCTGCTTCACTTATTTACTGGCCAATCTGTTATGTACAGAATGTTTGACTGCTCTTAACTAGAAACAGGAGAATGGGAGATCGTAATTGGGTTTGAAACAAAATAGCCCAGAGATGGTTTCTTTATAGAATGATGGAACTGTCACAGGTTTCATTTAGTAATAGTCCAGTAGAAAATGCCAGATCACTGGAGTTCAGTATTACCTGTGGGTTTATAAATAACAAAGTCAAATATAAATGTCATAGTTTAGCTATGTATTTGCAGAAAATGTTTGATTTATAAGGAATAGGAGGACTTGCACAATTGCCTGTTGCTGAAGTGAAACCATTGCAAAGCCTAATTTTCAGCTGATTGGTTTAGTATGTTTTTACTGTTACTTTTCATGCAAAAATTGGTATAGAATGTTTTAAAAAGAATGACATACAAAGGTGTATTTAATAAACAATCTGTACTAAAACTAAAAAATAAATTAGCCTAAAACTTAGTCAAAGGAATGAGGACTGTGTCAAAGGTGGAATAGGAGATGAAAGAATTTAGGGAGTAAGTTATAGAAATTGGAGACACATCCCATTCTCCAGCAATTCTCAGGCACATTAACATTCCATGAGACCATAAGACGTAGGAGCAGTAGTTAGCCATTCAGCTCATCAAGTCTGCTCTGTCATAGTCATAGAGTCATACAGCACGGAAACAGACTCTTCGGTCCAACAATCCAACCTGCTCCTGGCTCATATCTCTCCAAACCTTTCCTATTTATGTATCTATCCAAATGTCTTTTAAATGTTTTAATTGTACCCGCATCCACTATTCCTCAGAAAGCTCATTCCCCATGCGATCCACCCTCTGTGTAAAAATTTGCCTCTGATGTCTTTTTAAAATCTTTTTCCTCTCACCGTCATTCAATGAGATCGTGGCTGATTTGACAAATCTTCAATTCAACTCCCCTGCTTTTTCCTCAAGCCCATGTCTCGCTTGTTAATTAAAAAGCTGTCTGTCTCAACCTTGAATATACTTAATGACCCAGCCTCAACAGATTCACGAGCGTCTGAGAGAAGAAGACCCCCCACTCATCTCACTTTTAAAGGTGCAACTGCTTTTTCTAAGACTATGCCCTCTGGTTCCAGACTCTCCCAGAAGGGAAACAACTTTACACATCTACCCTGTCAAGTTCCTTGAGAATCTTATATCTTTCAATAAGGTCACCTTTCATTCTGCTATATTCCAATCAGTACAGTCCTAACCTACTTAAACTTTCCTCGTAAGACAGTCTCTCCATACCTGGTATCAGCCTACTGAACCTTCTGTGGACTCCCTTTGATGTTGAAATGATGACATGTTCAAACACAGTTGATCACATGAAATTGTCATTTCCCATATCACATAGTGAATAAATGTGATCTGTTGAAAATTTACATCAACTTTTGAGACAGTCCATTGAATAACACAGTACTATTATTGGCTGTTAAATTTGGACTTAGATTTGTACAGTTGCAAGATGTCATATGCAAAAAAACTACTGCACATGGTATAACAACTGAACCGGCAGCACAGGCTTAGTTTAAAGTGTTTGACATGATGAGGATTAGAGGCCTCAAGCTGGGCATGGTTAGAAGCTGTTACAACCTATAGGATCTTTGGAGAAGATTGGTAAATTGGAAAAGAACAAAGAAGCAACAATATCAATCAAGTGTCTAACCACAGAAATAAAAAGAAGGGATTTTAGTAAGAATGATCACATAGTTGAAACACTGAGTACAATTAAGGAACAGCAGAAGATTCAAGAATCTGATTGTATCTAGAATACCTGATAATAGTGATGCAGTATAGAGACTTATAAATATAGAGATTAGAGAAGCACGTAACCATAATCACCTCCTTCCTCCAGTCACTGATTGAAATTTAAGCTGAATGCAAGAACCTGATCTGCATATTTACAGAAGGACTTGCTCAGAAGCATGAGTTCAGATTTCAGAATGTGGGCTTGGAGCTGTATGGTACTCGATAAGTCATCTGGTTGATTTTTGACTCTGATTCTCCAGTTTTCACTAGTGGGTAGGGTTGAAATTAGCCCCAGAGTTTCCAACCTATAAAACTGGAGCATGGTTGAGGGGTGACCTTATAGAGAGAGGTTTATAAAATCATAAGTTGAATAGCAAAGGTCTTTTCCCTAGGGTAGAGGGATTCAAAGCTAGGGAGCATATTTTTAAGGTGAGAGGAGAAAGATTTGAAGGGGCCTGAGATGTAACTTTTTCACGCAGAGGGTGGTTCGTTTATGGAATTAACTGCCTGAGGAATTGGTAGATGCAGGTACAGTTATGTGGACAAGTGCATGAAAAGGAACCGTTTAGAGGGATATGGGCCAAATGCAGGCAAGTGAGACTCGTATAGTTTGGGAAACTTGGTCTGCATGGATGAGTGACCAAAGAGTCTGTTTCTGTGTTATATGAATCGATGACTCCATAACTGTCATTCAGATTACTCATCAGCCATCACTCGCTAACAAGTATGAAAGATAAAGCGATTGAGTAAATTGTAACTCTTAGTCACTGATCATCTCCATTTGACATGAAGTCATAACAGTGTTTATCGTAGCTCTGGAAACTTACGTATAGAGTGTGAATACCAATAGGCCAGGGGTGGAATACCACCTTTGTACTTCCTTTCAAGAAAGGTTGACTTATTTGTTGCCTCCAATGTGTGGAAGATATGCCTCCCTTTGTGTATTTTCTGTCGTATTTGTGGATATTCATTCTTCTGATGTTATCCTGTTCCCTGTGATTGAAGAGAATTGAAAGTATCCATTTAGATTCTCAAGCAAAGTGACTTGTGATTTTTCTTGATAATTTCTTGGAGGATCTGATGTTCTTTGCTATTTCTCTTGTTAACTTGCTGACTGTACTCTTTCTGCAGAGAATAAAATATTGCAGCTGATAATTGTCCTTTCTACTTGATCAGACAACAGCTGTATCTATTTGAGAGCTCCAGCAGAAGTAATATTTATATAACCTGGCCAGTAAATGCTTTTTAATTTATGAACAACAGATATTTGATATCACATTTTTGTATCAAAAATGCCTCTGCAAACTACAGTGCTTCAGCGTTGCACAAATAATTATTTTAAACTTGTGACATTTTGGAGAACAGTAGAAGAAATCCAGTCCCAGTTCTGAAAGATTTCACAATGAATGTATGGAAAGGAATTCTATTTACATATGACCCTTTGCTGCTTGTATTTATAACAAAGGATCAACATGCTCCTAAATGGTAGAGAGAGCACTAACTGAGGGTCAGGGTTGCCTATCCCATCATAAAAATCTTCTGGGTATTTTTAACCATTAACTGAACAGGTTGAACTTGTTCAGGGATGTAGACTCTCATTTCACTTTCCTGGCTCATTAATATCCACCAGTGAAACCAAGATTCTTTAATCTATATACTCATTCTTGAGTAGTTCAACAAAGATGTGGAAACAAACTTAGGTTACACCCAGCCAGTTATCTGACTTTCAATTAGGCTACTTAGAAATGGAAACCAGGCAAAAAACAATAGACTCAAATTAAAAAAAAAAGGCCATGGAACTACAAACAGGTGAGCCTAACATCAGTGGTGGGTATGTTGTTGGAGGGGATTCTGAGAGACAGGATCTGCATACATTTGGAAAGGCAAGGACAAAGTAGGGATAGTCAGCATGGCTTTGTGTGTTGGAAATCATGTCTGACAAACTTGATTGAGATTTTTGAAAAAGTGACCAAGAAGATAGATGAGGGAAGAGTGGTAGATGTTGTCCACATGGAGTTTAGCAAGGCCTTTGACAAAGTACCACATGGTGGATTGGTTATTAAAGTTAGATCGCATGGGATCTAGGGAGAGCCCGCTAAATCGATACAAAATTGGCTTGCTATTTAGGAGTTCCACACCGAGGGTGGTGCATATATAGAACGAGCTGCCAAGGAAGTGGTGGAGGCAGGTACAATTATAGGATTTAAAAGATATTTGGACAGGTACAAGGATAGGAAAGGTTTAGAGGGATAAGGGGAAAATGCAGATAAATGGAACCAGTTCAGTTTAGGAAACCAGGTCGGTGTGAACAGGTTGGTCCGAAGAGCCTGTTTCGATGCTGTACACTTCTATGACTCTATTTTGCACTTCATTTAATTGTCATTTTCAGAAATGTGTTATGTCAGTTTAGATTTTCAATGAACTGATAAAATAATCATTGAACTCAAGTCGTCATCCATCTAAGGCATCAGCTGCGTTTTTGGACTTGCCAGATCCAGAGAATATTGTGAATTTTGGACTGGCTCATTGAGTGCGTATCGTGAAGTGCACAGATTATATGACTATTGAATGGGGAATGTAGAATTCAAGGTATAGACAGTGCATTTGTTTCAATGTTTGAATTTAAATTGCCCTTTTGAATAAGCAAGAAAAAAAATCTGACATAGACTGTGCCATAGCTGTAGCCAGGAATGATCTATTCAATGAATAATGTGCTCATGAGCCTGTAGATAAACAAACATGAACAGGAAAAGTGTGTTTAACTGGTTGTTTGCATCCACAGAATCAAATGGTGAAAGAACTGGAGGCTCGTGTACAACAGTTGACTATAGAGGCTGAGAATAGCACTTTGGTGCGACAGAAACTAACCCAAGAGAAAGGTGAGCTAGAACAGCGCTGCCAGATGATATGCTTGGAGCTGCAGGAGGTAAAGTTAAGGTAAGTAGTGTCCAGAAAACGGGGGAAATGAGTTCCTTCAACAGGAATATTTAATTGTGCACTTTATAAATAACTTGAGAGATTTTCCTTACTTTCTATTTTTTCATGTTGCACCTGAACTGGGAATGATTTTCAGTGACCCTGGGTAATTTTCCCACATCTGGAGGTTACCAATGATCGGAAACTGAACTGCACCAGCCTTAAAATGACTGGTAACTTTCTAAAGCTTATCCACCATTTAGAAGACACTAGTCAGAAATGTGATGGAATAATCTTGATTTGCTCGGATGAGTGTAGTTCCAACAATAGTCAAGAAGCTTAACACCATCCAAGAAACAGCAGCCCACCTAACTGGCACCCTATCCAACACATTTAATGTTCACATCCTCCACCACTGATGCACAATGGCAGCAGTGCGTACCCTCTAGAAAATGCATTGCTGAAACTCTCCAAGACTCCCTTGACAACACCTTCAAACCTTCAACTGTTACCACCTGGAAGGGCAAAGGCAGCAAATACATGAGGGCACAATCATCCATAGGTTCCCCTCATAGCTAGACACCATTTTGACTTAGAACTGTATTACAGTTCCTTTACTATCGCCGATTAAAATTCTGGAAATTCCTAACATCATTGTTGGTGCACCAAATGGATTGCAGTGGAATGAAACAGTGGTTCACTACCACCTCGAGGGCAGTTGGGATTGTGTAATAAATTCTGGCATACCTGGCAACAACCGCATCACGTGAACAAATAAAAAAGTGATCCCTTTCACCTTCATGATGACAAAAAAATTAATTTCAAGGAAATGTCTTATAATGCTGAAAGAGAAGGATACAAATGGTACACTGTAATTGGCAGACTATTCTCAATTTTTTTTTAAATACATGGCAATTGTTCTGCTTGAGGGTGACTGTAAAGAGAGTGCTTGTGTCACAGAATTCAATTCTAGGTGCTGTGAATAAGGGGCACCTTGCTGAAGTATGTTAGATAAAAAAAACAATATGGGGGTAAATTGAAAATGCTCCATCAATCAAAAGTGTGCCAGTAAAATGAGTAAATCATTGAATAATGCTTTATCAAAAAGAATTTCAAGTAAAGTTCTAGGTAGGACATTGGATGACTTAATAACATACAATAATCTTGAAGAAGGACGCAGTGGAGAAATGTGGGGTAGAGCTTCCTGGAGCTTGGAAGGTAGGCGCCTGAAGGCTTGGCCATCAATGGCAGAGCAGTTAAAATTGGGATGTAAAAGGGGCCTGAATTACAGGAGGGCAGGTATCGAAAAGGGTTGTGAGCATCTGAACTATGAGCAGGTATAGACCATTCAGTCTCTCTAGGTTACTTCCCCATTCAATATGATCATGGTTGATTTGATTGTAACCTCTGGTTCACATTTCTGTCTGCCCATGAAAATCTTTCACTCCCTTGGTTAACAAGAATCTATCAATCTTTGCCTTAAATTTATGTAAGGACTTGCCTTCCACCTCTGTTTCATGAAGAGAGTTCCAAAGCACCATGCTCTGAGAGAAAAATATTGCCTAGTCTCTGTTCTAAGTGGGTGACCCCTGATGTTTAAATAGTGACCCCTAATTCTAGATGGCCCAAAGAGGAAACATTCTGTTTCCATCTGCCCTGCCAAGACCCACATAGAATTTTACGTTTAAGTCAAGGTTTATGGTTCTGAAGGAGTTTGTAGAGATGAAAAGGGCTGAAACCATGGAGAAATTTGAAAACAAGGACCAAAATTTTAAAAACAAAATGTTGCTTGATTGGAGCTAGTGGAGGTCAGCAAGGACAGAGCTGAGGGGAATGAAACTTGCTGGATGAGATGGTGGAACTGTAACTTTTTGAAAACAAGCAAAGACAAGACTTATACAATTAAAAGTAGGGCCTTGGGCAGTGTTGTAGAACAGAGACCTCGAGGTTCAGGTACATAATTCTTTGAAGTTTGCATCAGATATAGAGAAAGAGTGGTTAAGAAGGTATTTGGTATTCTTGCCTTCAATGCTCAGTCCTTTGAATATAGGAATTGGCACAGTATGTTGTGGTTGTACAGGATATTGGTGAGGCCTCTTCTGGAATACTGTGTCCATTCCTGGTCTCTCTGTTATAGGAAGGATATTATTAAGCTGGAGAGGGTTCAGAAGAGATTTACCAGGACGTTGCTGGGAATGGAGGGTTTGAGTTATAAGGAGAGGCTGGATAGAGTGGACTTCTTTCACTGGAGTATGTGAGGTTGAGAGGTGACCTTATAGAGGTTTATAAAATAATGAAGGGTATAGATAAGATGAATAGCAGGTGTCTTGTCCATAGGGTAGGGTATTTCAAGCATATTTTCAAGGTGAGAGGAGAAAGATTTAAAAAGATATGAGAGGCAATTTTTTTTACACAGTGGTTCGTGTGTGGAATGAACTTCCAAAGGATGTGGTGGATGCGGGTACAGTTACAGTGTTTGAAAGACATGATAACGACATGAATAGGAAACGTTTGGAGGGATATGGGCCAAGCGTAGGCTGGTGCGACTAGCTTAGTTTAGGATTATGGTTGATATGGACTGGTTGGACTGAAGGGTCTGTTTCTATGTTGTACGACTCTATAACTAAATAATTACTTTGTGACTGCCTTCACATAAGAAAATACAGAAAATATCCTAGAAATATTAGGCAACCAAAGATGTTTTAGATTCTGGAAAGGTTTCTGCTGAATGGAAAGTGGCAAATGGAACCCCGCTATTTAAGAAATGAGGAAGAGGAAGAATGGAGAACTATAGACCTGCTAGTTTGAGGTCAGTAAAATGTTAGAATATATTATAAAACAGAGACTGTTAGATAATAACACTAAAATTGGACAAATCAACATAGATTGGTGAAAGGGAAATGGTGTTTGACACAACCATTGGAGTTTTTGGAGGATGTTACTTGTAACATAAGTAAATGAATACTAGTGTATATGGTGTATTTGGATTTTTAGAAGGATTTTGATAGAATTTGATTGAGAATTGGTCAACAGTCAGAAGCGTAAGAATAGGAATAAAGAATCATTCTCAAGATGGTTGGTTGTTCCTCATGGGATACGTTAAGTGTCATTGCTAGGGCACAGCTGTTCACAATTTATACAAATAACTTGTATGTGGAGCTCCATTGCAATATTTGCAAAATTGCAAATGAAACAAAACTAGGTGGGAATGTGAATTGCGAGTAAGATTTCAAGGTAACGTGGACAAGCAGTGAGTGGTTACGAATATGGGAGATGCAATTTAGTGTGAATAAGCATGAATTTATCCACTTTATTAGGAAAAAAAATTGAAAGGCAAAATGTTTCTTAAGTGGTGAGAGCTAGGAAATGTTGGTGTCCAAAAGGACCTGAATGTTCTTGTATGTGAGCCCCTATCAGTTAGCATTCTAACAGTAAGAAAGGCAAATGGTACGTTGGGCTCAATCACAAGGGGATATGAGTACAGAGGTAAAGATGTCATGCTGCAATCGTAAAGAGCTTCAGTGAGATAGCACCTAGAGTATTGTGTACATTTACTTGCCATATAGCAAGTGAAATGGAGGTTCACCATATTAATCACTGGGATGGCAGAATGGGACGGTTTTATGAGATGATATTGAGGAAACTTAGCCAGTTTTTTTTTTCAAAAAAACGAGAGGTTGTTTCATTAAAACCTGGAAAATTTATACAGCACGTAACAAGGTGTATAAGAAAATGAGATTTCCCATGACTGGTGAGTCTTAACAGGGTGACATTTTCAGGACAATGGGTAGACTATTTAAGACTGATATGTGGAGGAATTTATTTACTGAAAGGGTGAATTTTGAATTTTCTACCCTGAGCACTGTGGTAACTCAGGAACAAAAACAAAGTTGTTGGAAAAGCTCAGCAGGTCTGGCAGCATCTGTGGAGGAGAAAACAGAGTTAACGTTTCGGGTCCGGTGACCCTTCCTCAGAACACAGTGGTAACTCAATGAGCATGTTCAAGACTAAAAGCAATAGATTTCTCAAGACTGATTGCTTCATGGGATATGGAAGTAGTGTGGGAAAGTGGCATTGAAGTAGATGATGTAACTTATTGCCTGAGCAGGCTGTATGTTCTGAATAGCTTATTCCTGTTTCCAAATCTCCTACCATCAATTAAGGTTAACGGCAAGATCCTGAAAGATGTGAACCATTTTCTGTACCCTCACAAACTTCGTTTCAATAAAGACAGATGTAGAGACAAAATTTATCTCTGGACTGTCAGCTCAGCCTTTGGCAGATTAAGGAAAGAATATTTGAGGAACAGGATCTCAAATGCAAGATTAAGGTTATGGTTTACTGGGCAGGAGTAATGTGAATGCTTGTAGACTCTGGAGAGGTAGGATTAGGGTTAGGGCTAGGTGAGAGATTTTTGTTTTTCTTTTTATATTCATTCACGGGATGAGGGTGATGCTGGCGAGCATCCCTAATTGCCCAGAGGGCGGTTAAGAGTCAACCACGTTGCTGTGGGTCTGGAGTCACATGTGGGTCAGACCAGGTAAGGATGGCAGTTTCCTTCCCTAAAGGACATTAGTCAACCAGACGGGTTTTTCTAACAATTGGCAATGGATTCATGGTCATCATTAGATTCTTAATTCCAGGTATTTTATTGAATTCAAAACCCACCATCCGCGATGGCGGGATTTGAAACCAAGTCCCCAGAACGTTATCTGGATTAACAGTCCAGTGATAATACCACTAGGCCATTGCCTCCCCCACAGCAGGCATCTCAAAGTACTGGAGAAGTACCAGTGGTTGCTTTCCAAGATCTTCCAAATCCATCAGCAAATGGGCAATCCAACTACAGAATTCTCTCCAAAGCCAACATTCAGCACTGAGGTGCTAAACACACAAAGGCAGCTCCACTGGGCAGGGCATGTCTTTCATAAGAATAACTTCTGATCAATTTATATTCTACCTCTCTACACAAAGTTCAGTATTCCGTTAGCCTTTTTGATTATTTCCTGTGCTTGTTATTT